GGGGCCGCGATTACGTGTGCTGCCATTAACATCACTAGAGTTTCTCATTTCCCCGGTCTTTTGCTTGTCCCGGGATTCCGGGATAAAAGTGAACTGTTTCCCGGGAAATCCCGGGACAAAATTAAATTAACTATGTCGTTTTATTATTATATTATCGTCATATTAAAACTTATGAATCTTTGTTAACCAGAAAAACGTGATTTTGAAATTTTTATATTACATAAAATATTGTCACAAAAATGAAGGTTGAAAAATGTGTGTGAAGAAAACGAAAGTTCATATATTTTTTTAATAACTTACATAAAAACTTATATTAAATATATAAGCCAATTATGTTAAGCAATTCCGTAACAAATTTTACCATTATTAATGCAATTAAACATTTTTTAAAGTTGTTTTTACAATATATTAATTTTCGAAAATACTAAAAATATATATATAAAATATGAATCAAGTGTTGTTAAAAATTAATTAAAACATCTGTTATTTTTTATATTTTTACAACGTGACATTTTTGACAAGAAAGCATGTAAATGAGTTTTCTTTTTTAAATTAATGATCCATTTTTAGTTAAATTTAATCACAGCAGATGGCAATACGAGGTACAGTACTACTAATACTTTCAATACGAAATTACAGTAAAAACGGTTTCAAACGGAAGGTAGCGATATCAACCAGACTTTTCTGTTATGTTAGAATGTTTTGTTTTATAACGGGTTAGACTTTTATTAAGCAACTCTTTTAAAGGATTGGGAGAACAGCGGTATTCTATTGTTACAGCTAATTTCTAGACAATGAAACTGCAATCTTAACAAAGAAAAACGAAGTAGACTATAACTCTTATCACTGAAAAGCTAAGCATGATCCAAACATACAACTTACAGCATTAATTATGATTAAGAATTTAATGTTATGCCCAAAAATTCCGTTCTATTCAGGTTATTTTATACAATTGATTCATAAAAAATAATCTGTTTCTGAGTTAGACAGATTTTTCAGCTTGTAATAGTATTTTATTTATGAAATTGTTCCAAGATTCATTTTCTGCTTAGTCACATTATGTCTTATAAAAGTTATTTTTAGACAGCTTTTGCTGTATTGAAATAATAAAGTAATCATAATAAAATTGCAATGTAAGTGAATGGCTCATTGATAAAAATAATTAGTTTTAAGAAAATATATATTTTTTTAAATTTAAAAATAACTTTATAAATGAAGAAGCATNTTGCAGAGTTAGCATCCAAAATAATGCAGATAAAAGCAAACTGTAACCTCTGCAACGAATATCACGTTCGAACTGATAGAACCACTGTAAGGTTTATCGTGTGAACGTGAATCAGATGTGTGATGATCCGAATCATCCTAGATAGTGATAAAGACTATGAACGGAGTTGATTCTGAAAAAGGTTACTGTTGATTTATCGTAAGGATCGGATGAGTTGAGCATAATAAAAGATGGACGGGAGGAAATAGAAAAGATAAGATAGAAGAGTATACTAATAACTTTTCCTGATTTGTTGTTCTAACTAATAATTCTAAGTAATAATATACATGATATAGTTTTGTAAATATAAATCTAAAGAAAAAGTTTAATGTCATAGAATAAATGACTTCCGACATGGTTATTTAAATGTGCCAAGAAGCAAAATATATAAACCTAAATACGTTGGTTCTTCTACTACCCGATAGAGGCAATTATCAGATTAAGCTGCAAGTTGACTGGCTGTTACTAGATTTTATTTTTGAAATTCTAACCGTTACAGGTCGATCTTCCCTGAGATTTTCTCTTTGCCAACAGAGACTAAAGTTAAACAATAAAATGGTTCGTTTCATAACGTTAACAACGATTTTCGATACTGAAAGAAGTAGTCTATCTTTCTGAAGAAGGATATTTTAGTGATTTAAAGAATTCTGGAAAAATATTAGATGATATAACTTACATTTTTAATGCAAAACTTGTACAACATAATTGTGATAAAAAGTGAGAAAAATGCTTTTATTTTAAAAGTACATCTTTGAATTGCTATTGTATATTTTATATGGTAATGATTAGCCTACATTAAGCTAAATAAAAAATTTTATTTTAATTTTTACATTTTTAAAATTTTCTTCTATTGATTATGTAATGAATTTTTTGAGTCTTTAAAAAATTATTTAGATTTTACTAATAGTCAATTCTATAAACATTGAATTTATTTTGTTTAATGATTTTTTATGAGTTCAGAAATTTAATAATTGAAGTTAATACATTATTCAAATTCATTTAAATATCCAAAAATGACTTAGTTATTCAATCTAGTTTATTTTATACTATACTATACTCTATTGTTAATATTGTTTTTATTAGTCTTCTAATTGGTTAATATTATATAATACATCTTTTTACATTGACAGTTTTTGAAGAGAAACGTGATGTGGTGACACCAGATAGATCTTATCTGGTGTCACCACATTCTTCGTTTTGAGTATTTTCCTCTCTTGCTGCATCATTATGATGTCTAATTAATTAGTTCTGTCTCTTCAGAGTCCTATAAAAATAATGTATCTCTAGTGGTAGTCGTACCTCTCAGGAATATGATGTAAAATAAATAGGAAATAGTCCAGTCATAACATTTAGGATATCGTGGAATGACAGTGTTTCCAACGAAACAAACACTTCAAGAAAATTATTTTATAGAAACAGTGTCACAGGGACGAATTTTAATTTGACTATATCACCCGTTTTTGGAAAATTCAGGCTTAATAGAAAATGTATCATGTTTTATACATTTAAAGGTGTAATGAATTTTAGTTTATTACAATGTTAATCAATGATGTTAACAATGTTAAATATATTGTACTAAATCATCAATGTCAAGAACGTTAATTACACTAATGTTAAATTTAAAACATGTAAATAAAAGTAAAAAGAATTTCTAACCTTTTTAATCCTGATGACGTGTATGTCTGGCTAAAGTTAAAGCTATTTATTCTCAATAATACTTTAGTCTTTGAGAAACTAAATAGCAGAAATAGAAGACTACATGCGTTAAACTTTATTTTTATTCAATTAATAAACTAGCGATCATCATAGAATGCAATTCTTTATCTCAGAATATATTTAAACAAATCAGAATTATTCTAAAAGCTATTGAAGAAGTTAATATGTGAAAGAGATTGAAAATATCTGTAAAATAAGCTTTGCAATATTAAATTAGAAATAAAACGAGAAATGAAAATTATTGTGTATACTTGTAATAAACAGATATTTGATTTAAAGAATTGAATTGTTTCATCTCATTCCGAATTTGATGTGGAAACTGAATATTTTTATGATTTATAATTCGAGAGTAATCATATCTCAGTCTTTAGCGTTTGAAGTAACATTTTAATATTATTTCAACAGAAATTATTCATTTTTCTTAATTGTTGACAACATTGGTTGTACTTATTACGAATATATTTCCAGCAGGTGAAACACACTTGTCATTGTTACCTGGAGAATATAATGAAGATTCCGTAATATATGGCACTAGCGCCGTAACTAGTCTTTTATGCACCCAGTGCGAGCTTCTGTAACTAGCCAAAATGACCTAGACCAAAACTTGGTCTAGGTCATTTCTGTGCCCCCAGGGTATACGCCCCGTACCTAGGCACCGCTGGCACTGCCCTAGTTACGGCACTGTATGGCACACAGATGTATCCAGTGATAATACAGGAAATATCCAGTATTATGGTTTAAAACATTACGTTCTCGTAGAAGTTTAATATATATATATATATAATATTTTAAAGTTGATGGTTTAGATTTTGTATATATATATACAAAATCTAAACCATCAGCCAAACCTATGCTAAAACTGCCGGCTATTTTGTCAGGGCGATCTGGAGAGGTGTGTTCGAGTTCCGTTTTTGGTTGAATTCTTCCAAATATTCAACATTCTATTCTTGACGTGTTACAAAAGTATAATCAGTTTTTATAATTATTTCAAAAATAAAATAAAATAAGCCTGTATACTGAGCGAGAACGCACCACCTTTGCATTACTCATAATTCAGAAATACACACTATTCAGGAAGTCAAAATTCTTATCAAATATACTTAATTCACTATTTAATTGCGTTAAACCGAATTAAATTTTAAACATTACTGCACAAGATGAAATGTTCAAGAAAATAATTGAATAAAACATATTTTTAAGTTTGATAAATTCATTCCTAAGGCTGACTCTTGTTGACTAGCAGCAGAATAATCTGAATAAACCGATGCTTTAGTTTCGGTATGATATGGATTATAGTTTGTCGTATTTTACTTAATTTTTTGAAAAATAATTGACGTCTTAATGATTTTATAATTTTTCCGAACGGAATATGTCAATGATAACGGACAGGATTCATTCTCATTCATTGGGCGATCCGGAAAATGGGAAATAATTTCGATTCTGACATTACATCACATAACCATACAAAAGTGAAATTCATAAATATATATATGATAATTTTTGTTTTTATTTTATATAGGGCTATTACTTCTCTGTAACAAATTCTTCTTCTAGATATCAGGATTAATGAAACTTGATTTTAGTTGAAAATTTTTATATATTTTAAAAATAAAAATTTAAATGTATATTTTCTATATGTGTTAATTAATTATAAATATTTATATTTTCAAAAATGAATAAATAAATTTTATTCTAAAAGACAAGAATAAAGATAAAAAAGAGTGATATTTTATTTATAGCTTTAGTTTGAAAAAGTTTTGAATATTTACAATAAATTAACTATTTATATAAAATATACGTAATGTTTAAGTTAAAATAGTATAAATCATAAATACGTAAGAAAGTAAACGTTGCTTAGAATAAAAAATATAATACAATATTTGTATATCTCATAAATGTTTAAATGCATTTCTGTTAAGATGAAATTATTTTTATTATTAGGAATTTTTATTTTCCTAAAATATTTAAATTTTTACATTTTATATTTGATATGGAATAATTCAACCCGTTCCGTCTCAAAAGTGTATTAACTCCATACTTTTTGGTGTTTCAAACTCAACAAATGATATAACAGTATAAAAAGTTGAGTGCCCTTAGAGCGTATACTTTTCTTTTTGTAACGAATAAAATCATACGGCAGTATAAATAATCGGTTTACAAAAGTGTTTTATATTTAAAAAAACAAATCAAAGATTTAGTCACTGAACAAATTCCAGATTCACTTTAATTGGATACAAATTCTCCTTCTCTTAATTTCATACTTATTTTTAGTATATGCCTTGGGAATAGCCTTCTCAACTATCTGTGCTCTCTGTTAAAGATCCTGTTGGTTGTTCCGGTTCGAACAGGATATGACGTATCCTAAGGTCGCATGTCAAAGCAGAAGTCATAGGAATCGCTGTGTTCAGTTCCGGCGTTTTAGTTGTGGATTCTGTCGAGGTGATTGAACTTGAAGAAGAGAGAAAGTTTATAGACTTGGCATGGTCAAAATCACTTACTTCTGGGGAATAATTCTGTAAAAATTAAAAATTTGAGATAAGTTACCAAATTAAACATAACAAAACTTTTTTATTTTAAGTGTTTATAAGTATTTTAATAAACGAATATTTTAATGCAAATCTGTTTACTTACATAATTAAGGACACTTTTTTTTAGATTATTTCCTTCCAAAATATCAGGAAATTCGTTTTTCTTCATTCTGTTTACGGATTCTTCGCATATTTCAAAATTTTCTTTTTCGACACTCAAATTTACTATGAACGAAATTAAATATAAATGCAATATATTAAATTCTATTTCAGCAGCATTTATAATAATGATAAGTTATAAATTACATATTATTAGAGAGGTTGCGGCCGACGTTTTTGCGTTGAAAACTTCAGCAGCAACCTCGCTAATATGTCAAGAAATTTCTTAAAAATTTTAAATGCTTTAAAAAAATACGTAGAAAAGACTAAACTGTCTCGATTTTCACCATGTATTTTTTAATGTGTAAATTTGTCAGCCATTTTTTAAAATGAAATTATGTATTTATTAATTGGCTTGTCACATGTGAACTTTTTAAAATGTTTATGCATATTTTTGAGACAGTGTAGACTCTAATAAAAGGTTATCTCTGCAATGGAAGACTGTTGTTCCTGGTAATTCGACATGGCGAAAATCAAGTCTTTTCTACGTATTTTTTAATGTATAAATTTGTCATCCATTTTGAAAAAATGGATATTAAAGGCTATTTCTGTATACAGTACTTGTTTTTAAAGCTCTTTCCGCCCTTTGGAAATCTTTTAACAGGCCATTTATGAGATCGGATAGTCCTATAATGCGGTAGCCGGGTGATGAGGAACGGGGCCCAACATATCCTAATATACCACCACCTGAAAAATTCCTGGGGATTTTTCAACCCGTCCAGGTTCGATCCTGATCCCCCAGAGCGGAAGACTATCCCCTGACCGCTCGGCGATCCGACCGTCTTTGTATACGCTTATGTAGTTAAAATTGTATTTTCAAGATGATAATCTCAATTTTAGATTCTGAGTTTATGGAAAATACGAGTATGACGACTCGATTAATAATAAACTAACTAATAAAATAGGAATTTACTGTAATATAAAAAACTACTTTTTAATTTCAAGTTTTTTGTTATAAAAATATTAATAAAATACAAGTAGTCTATACAATATTAAAAAATTATACGTATTGTATATAATTTGTTTTACACAATATAATATAATTTTTTATACACACAATAAATATTAAAGAAGAACTATAGAATATATAATTCTAAATTTATCGTTATATCCATTATAGTACAAAAATGTTTACAACATTTAATAAACATAAATCTTTTCATATTATTTTATTAATTTGGAATCTTAATGAATTATTATCAAATTTTATAGTGGTAAAAATTTATAGAATTATTAATGTCATAAATTCGATTATTATAAAATTCCATTATTATAAATGAAATTTATACATTATTTATGCAGTTTAAATACCCTGTCATGGCATAAACGACAGAAAATTAAGATGCTATCTTAATTGTTTAAATAAAATCTCAAGTTTATAAAAATGTATTACTTTCTACAGAGAAAGGAAAAACCCAACTGTGTAAACAATTAAACTCAAAAAATTTTTTAAGATTAATTTTAACATTATCTTAAAAAATTTATCTTACTCTATTTTTATTTATTATTTAATGAGAAAAAATAAAATATAAATATAAGAACAACTTCTTGTTCTAGCACAGTTTTTTGTGCTAGAAAAAAATTTCAATTTGGACACTATTTGAAGTTAAAAATATAAATATTTGAAGAAGTGAAAAGGATTATAAAGAAAAAAATAATTTTCCATGTTTATATGTAAAAATATAAGGAAGAAAAAATTGTGATCAATTCTATTGAAAACGGTTGAAGAATATAAAGAACTAGCAGACCCCACCATGCGTTGTTGTGGCTCAAAATGTATCTATTATAAATGTATAACCCTTCCCCCGTGGGGGGGAATTTTTCGAAAAATCCCTTAGTGTACATTTTCTTGACGTACCCTATTAAAACGCAATCAAAAAAGCAAAAAACCGCATCTAAAATAGTATAAATAGAAGCAGAGTACTTTATGGTAAGCCTTAATACTGTCCATCTCCCCCCTGGAGGAATTTCGACATGTATATTATATAAAAACACGTGCGTATTCGAATGCAGCGTTGTGTCAAAATTTCAAAGGAATCGGTAGGAACAAATGAACATTACATTTTTATTTATATAGATAGATAGATGATGATCTCCTTTAGTTCATTTTCATAGAAAAGCATAATGCCTCACAGAAAAGCAAACATAGGGCGTTGTACTCGTAGCGCCATCTGTTGACATAAAAACCTTAACCTAGATTATATATTTTAATTTATATGAATGTTTAACGGAATAATATACAGCCTATGTCCACCCTGAAGTTTCATTCTAAATATTGGTGAAAGAATTTTTGAAATCGGATGAGTAGTTTCGGAGATTACCTGCTGCAAACAAACTTACAAACATTACCTCTTTATAATATTAGTATAGATGACATACAATTTTAAGAATGCATTGTTTTAGATGTTATTTAAAATAATTTTTATTGATGATAATAAATAATGTTTATTTTGAAATATATTTAAATTATTCCAATTGATATTACTTGGATTCAGTAATTAAATAAGAAATATATAGCCCCGTTTGCAATGAATGTTTGTTATGGCCAACACTTGGGCTATTTGCCTAGAGGATGAATTCCGGGAGGTCTTAAGGAAAACCCCTATTTAGGCGTTACAGACGTGGAGAAAACACGGAAAACTCTACGTGGCCAGCCCATCCGAGCGAGGCGCGAACCCACGACCGAAGTCCCAGTGTTCAGGGTACGAAGACCGCTTGGCCATTGATGGGCTGCAACGAACGTCACTCATCATTTAAACTTTGAGATATTTACATAAACTTGCGTGGTTACAAGTATTAAACCAAGTGTTATAAATAATTAATTTTGTAAATGAACAAGTTTATTCCAATAACTTAATATGGATTTCAGTAGATCAGAACACATAACCAAAATATAATATGCAAATATTGCAACCGCTTGACAAAATATTACAATAAAGTTCATTCAGAAAGAATTTTTGAGAATTTTCTGGAATTTCTTGTAATTTACCTTGCAGATGAACGCCAAGTCACCTTTAGCTATTCATATTGACTGTGAAAAATAGCGAGGGTTATCGCAGTACCGGAACCAGAAGTATAACCAAAAGTTAAAGGAGGATCTAATAATCTAATACTCTTAATCTTCGCTATCGTTACTTTTTGCCCGAGAAACACCGGGCTCATCTGCTACTTACATATATTAACAGTAACATATTTTCCCGAAATCTGAGAATCTGTTATGTTTGTATGATCGCTTATCTTTATAATGAATTACTTTTCGTTACAAAAATAAACATTTGTGCACTGTACAATGGATTATTTTATTAATGGACAAAATTAATTGCAAATTAAAGAGCAAAATTATATTAGCCTGTACAATTTAGTATTTATATAAATATACGTACAATCCTTTTCCGAGGCTAATACTTTGGTATTTTGGAGTACCAAAAGTCGTTCTTTTATACAACAAATTCGTAGTTTCAGGTAAAAAACGAAAAAAATTGAGCTGAGTTATGGTGATACTTTTCACCAGTTTTGGTAACAGCAAAATTATTTGTGAAAATGAATTTTTATTGTCTGTTTTCTGTTCAAGTTCAATTTATAGCTTTGACGTTTAAAATAAAGTTTTATGCGTTATAAAATGCACATTGTTGTTTAAAATATTCCTCAACGGCAAGAAAAGCAATTACCTTCTACCTTAAGAATTTTTTAAACATTTTTAGCTCTTATAAAAGAAGGAAAGTTTTAAGCGTTTTTGAAGCTCCCTGTTCCAATTTCTTTAAATACATTACGCAAATACAGATATAGAACAGAAAATACAGTATAAATAAGGAAGAGCAAGATGAAACCCCTGACAGATGAAGTCTCTGCCATGACCTTGTATGCTTTAATGCAGTACTGTACAAAACGTTATAGAGTGAAACTTGTATTAAGCAACAAAAATATCATTTTGCTATTATAAATTAAAATTAGTACAAATAAGATTCTACGTAAGATATTTATATTAAAGAGTAATGAATTCATCCACAATAGTTTGATATGTTTTACTAAGTAAACTTTTGATTAACTTTAAAATAAAAATTATTTTGAAAGCTTTAGAATAGCTTTATGAAATTCTAAATAATATTACATATAAAACATTAAATTTTATTATTAATATTGAAAATAACCTAATTTTTTCTAATAGTAAAATTACTTTAAAATATGCAAATTTGAAGTAATTTCTGCGCTTCTAATTTAAATTTTAAAAAGAAGAAACAAATTAGAAAATAATAAAAGCTTCGTCAAGAAAAATGAAAAACATTAGTTTTCTTCTTAATGTGAGATTGTCAATAGAAATTGTATAATAAATTTCTTAATCTATCTTAAAATATTTTCTTTCAACAGAAGAAAGAAGAGAAATGATTACATTAAGTTCAGTTATTCGAAAATTTTAATTTTGAACATAAATTATTTAATTTATTGAATAGATGTTAAAAAGTTGAATTATTCGATATAACAATAATAATAAATAGGAAATTGGAAAGAAATAGAAATATTTAAAAATCAATTTGAAAATAATTTAAAATGATATAAAAGAATTTTACAACAGTAATTTATTTACGTGCCTTCGAAAATTTGTAATCATGTCTTTTTCAGACTCTTTTTATTTGAAATTTTGTTATATTTCTTCAAGAATAAATAAAATTAATATTTATTCCATCTGTTCTATAAATGAAAAAAGAAAATTCAATAGAATAATTCTTGTTAATAGTAGTAATAATTCTTAGTTATAAAAAGCTTAATGGTTAATAATTAGAATTTCAATTTGGAATACAAACCCCATAAATCCTCTTTATTACTTCATTAAAATTAAAAGATTGAATGCAATTAATGAAGTTATACAGAGAAAGGTTGACTTTAGAAATCGTAATTATCACTCAATTAAAAGATAATATTAAAATAAAATAGCTTTAGAAATTTAATTGCGATTAATATTGACTATTAAATATTTATCTTAAATAATATTTGACTATAATTTTTTCTTGTATAAATTTCGATATTGATATTTGTTTTAAATTATTTATTAAAATAAGTTATTAATGTTT